GTTTAAGGCGTTTTATTGAACTGCCGCACACACAACACTTTACGGCATTGCCGTACCTAGATGCTGCAAACCTTAAAGTCACAGTAACTTGTCAGTTTCAGTGCATCGCTTCACACAGTCCAACCGGACAGATGAGAACGGTCAACCGCATGTTTCCGAACATAACATTTCCCTCTCTGGCTTGGAGATATTAAAGCTGCACCTCTACCCTGCAGCTGCAGGGTAAGATCATAAAGATCATAAATAGCACTAGTCTGAAACAAAGGGTCTTACCTCAACCTCTGTAGTTTGCAGAAGCGATTCTGCAGAAAAACAAAAAGCTCCTTCACTCCAGCATCTTCCATGTCCTTGTTTCCGCTAAAATCAATTTCTGTCAGATGAGAGGGATTGGACTTTAGAGCTGTGACCAGAGAAGCACAGCTGGCTTCTGACAAACTGCACTTCTTTAATCTGAAAAATAATAAAACAAGTTTTATAGTTATTAGGACTTTAACTCCTTCTTAAAGGACAGGGACAAAATTCAACTTTGAACAAAACAAAAACATTGAAAATTACAGATGTATACATTAGTATGTATAGCATTAATTGGTCACCAACTGCCAAGAAACCCTCACAGAGAAAAACAAAAATACAGTTCTGAGATTGAACAGAGACAGGAGTAGCACTTGCATTTTGTCATTGTTTCTTCACCAATCCCTCACACTAAGCATGCCCATAGTGACAGTGGAGAGGAAAACTCTCTTTGACCAGGAAGAAACCTTCAGCAGAACCAGGCTCAGTGTGAGCGGCCATCTGCTGAGGCCCACTGGGGTTCAAGGAGACAGAAGCAGACATAGAAAAAAAAGCATAGATACCAAAGGCAACTCTTACATGAACAGACCAGATGAAGCTACTATGGGAAGAAAAAGCAGAGAGAGCATACACACACATATATATAGTATGTATATATCTTGATGTATACACTATGTAGAAGCATACACAATTTAAATAGCACTAATATTTAAATATGTGTGTAGCTTTATCAGCAAGGAGGCTAGTAAAAATCTGGTCTGTCTTTTTGGCAACTCTCAGTTTTAAGCAACCCTTCAGTGCATATTAGCTCCTGCTTGAACACCTCTAAGAAAATGTAACAGCACCAGGCTAACATGATCACCTTAGTTCTTTTAAGTCAAAATTAAGAACCAATTTGTTTCTTAAAGCTGCCTTTGACTGTTGAAGTTAAACTTTTAACTCATGTATCATTAGTTTAAGGATGTTGTCCATCCGTTTTTTTTAGTTCACTACCTGCTATTCTGATGTTTTTTTTCTTTATCTTTGTTTTAATCTAAATCAATTGTGCTATACAAATAAACTTGCCTTGCCCTGCCTTATGTCTGAAAATCCCTAAGACACCCCTTGGCTACATCCGGAGCAACTTCCAAGAACCGCTATGGCACATAACAGAATAAGCCAATTCTCCAAGGATTACTTGCTCACCTTCCACAACCCTTTGAACTCTGGACCACCAGTGGACCTAGTTTTCAATGTCGTGGGGGAATTTGTCATCAGCTTTGAGAAAAGTTATCACACAGCTCTGCAGCGTAAACAGATGAAGTGTTGCAGGGGAGATGGGGTGTGGAGAAGCATGAGACAGCAATACCTGTCTCACCTCCTATTGCCTTTAATCATCCTATCAAATGGGAGATCTCTTTAAAATAAAACAGTCTAACTTAAAGGCCTTGTTTGCTACCACAATGAGTTTAAGGAAGCTTGTATGACTTAGAGTTAGATAACTTTTATTGTATACACAGGTTGTACACAAAACAAAATTTTGTTTAGTACAGCTAAAAAGTGCAGCAGTTATTACATGTAAACAGCTGGGGAGAAAAAAGAAAAAAACAAAGTGCAAAAACAAAAGTATAATCCACATTTAAATATGGTTTTAGTAAAAGCATTAAGTCTCCCAAATGTAAAGTCTTATATGTGGTTTATTTTAGATAACCCACATGATCAGCACAAAAAGGGTTAACTATTGAAATTGTATTGCACTACTCTTAGCCAATGAGCTGCTGCAAAGTGGCACAATTGTCCCGCCCACCACTTGGAGAGTGCAGGCCTCCTCCTTTCTTTCGGCTGCAGCACAAATTTTAACTGACCAGCAGGAGAAAAGAGACAGAAGTATACGGAAAAAATGTACGAAATGAAGACAAAATAGAGAGAATATGATCACTGCTGATGCTGAGCATGGATTTATTCACATTTACAGACAAAATGATGTATTAAAAAAAATTACTAACTAGATTGGTTCTCTGTACTTTTAGTTGTAAAGTCGCAGGGCTTAAAGGTGGCGCCATTTTTATGCTGCTGCGTTCTTCTCATGAGATCGATCAAGTTAATTGTTCTCCTTAAATTTTTGATGGATCTGATATTGACAGCGAGCAAATCCTTCAGACGAACCTATCAACTTGTCTTGCTGCACGGCACGGTGAGGTAGGTCAACCGCAAGAAAGGTCCCACATACACTGCCTTGTATTTACTCTCCATTACACACATGCACACATTCCCCTGGACTTTTGGACATTCCATTTTGAATCTTTATGGACTTTTAAAGGACCCCATATATATATGCAAGTGCAGAAAATTGGACTTGGTGTGATAAGAACCATACCTACCAAATGATTTCATGCTTGGAAACATTTGACGTCTGTGTTGCTGAATAAAATTTTTTGCCATTGAAGCTGTCTTTTGTTTTGGATCAAATCCTATTTTTTCTTTTTATAAGAAGGCGCACCCAGGTAAGAATTGAAAAAAAACCATTGTGATTGTGAAACATCCATTACTGAGGATTCTTTGGTACCAAGAAAAACAGACAGGAAACTCTATTAAAGTATTTTTTTTTCTTGTTCTTCTTCTGTTTTTTTCTTTTTCACGTAATTAAAATAAGCCGGCAATTTCTAATTTTACCCCTTTGTCTGAGTCTCATTCAGGGGCAGATCTAGAAAAATATTTATGGGGAGGTGAGAGGGGGGCAATTTTTGAGGGGTGGCAACATATGGCATTTGTTTACACTGAATTTAATCACAGTTATCACAGTTTGGTGAGAAATAGTATATACAGTAAGTGTTTCATGTCAAACAGTTCTTAGAAATACATAATTCAATTCAATTCAGTTTATTTATATAGCTTCAAATTCACAAAACATGTCATCTCAAGGCACTTTACAGTCACATCATACAACGTAATCTCACTTAATAGGTGATAGAAGAATGATAACACTACTTCTTGTGGGGCCTTATAACAGGAAAGGTATTAAGGTAAGACACAGGTGCTGAGATGCAGATGTGTGATATTGATTGTCAGAGAGGCAGCTTTGCAGCATTTGCACAAGAAGAAACTATAGAATGAAAAACTTTCCCATCAGAGATCTATGGACTGAGCTGTACTAAAGTGAGCATCACTACACAGTAGAAATAAATAGGTCAAGGCACCCAAACATCTATGTGTTGTTTACTCTGAACACACATTTACCCCATTTGTTCCTCAGCAACTTGACATACAGCAGTTAAGGCAACAAGAAAGGGACATTTCATGCATGTAAATATGCTGTAGATAGAGCTGCTGTATCAACAAATCAACAAAAAGGCAGGTTCTGTATGTTACATCGAAATCTCCACAAATCTGAAAAGAAGCAACATAAAAATACATTTTGCTTAGTCTGAAAAAGTACAAAACATTTTGTGAGTAGGTTCATACAGGTCATTTCTGGATAGTTTCATACTATATATACAAAAAAAAAGAAACAACACTGCTTCATATTATGTAGGATTTACACCAGTATCACATTTTTAACTTTACTTTTAACACTTTTGGTTTTTTTAAAGGAAATATCAGATTTTCTCAGGTGCCAAAACAAAATGTAACAGCCCTGTAAAGGCTCACCAGAGAGCATAACATAAATTTAACATGACTATAACAGCTGAATGCGGCGATTTTCATGTTGCTCAACAAAACACTTCACAAATTTATTTAGATCCTTTGTGCATTTTGATTCAATGCTGCATACAGCCAAACCTGATAGTGTCTTTTCTGTCACAGTTGACCGCAAATATGTCTTTATGAGCCTGAGATGTCAGGCCTAACTAACATCATATTTAGAGAAATAACGTTCTGCAACCTGATTTTTATCATCTGTAAATCAGCCATGCAGCTATGCTAGCAACATTGTGCTTTCATTATGATTTAATTTCTCTATAGATAGTTAATCAGTTTTTCCCTGTTTCATCCGTGTCTCCTCTCCCCATGACCCCTGGCTCCCTCTCTTTGCCCCATTCGGTTTTTCAAAACTAATCAGTCTCAGTCGCTGTCGCGCCTTCTCGTGCTGCATTCACTGCAGTCTAACATTAGCGGTCATAATTCTATAATTATCCATAATTTATAAGCCTTGGTACCCCTCCCGCCAACTGGGGTGGCAAGGCTGTCATTTAGGGTGGCATTTGCCACACTATGCCACCCCAGTAGATCCGCCTATGGTCTCATTCATTTCACCTCTTCTGAGCGTAGCCGAACCTTCTGGCCCAACAATTAATTTGTCATTCATACACCTTTGCCAAGTTAAAACTTACTTTCACATTTCTCTAGTAACAACTGTGTTACAAAAGCATTAATATATATGGTGCAAATATGCAGTATTTTTGGTTTGATTTTATCAGTGTGATTCGGAGTCTGTGGCATGATTTACAGTTTTCTCAACAGTTTAGCAGTCTGATGGTGGTGGGGAAGAAGCTGTTGTAGAACCTGCTGATCCTCCATTGAATGCTGTGAAGCCTCTTCCCAGAGGGCAGCAGGGAGAACAGTCCATGGTGGGGGGGTGAGGGTTCATTGATGATGCCACAGGCTCTGGACACGCAGCGCTGGGATAAAATGTCTTTAATGGAGGGAAGAGGAGCCCCCATGATCCTCATTGGTGTTCTCACCCTCTTCTAGTCTGAGGCGCTGCAGCCTCCACACCACACAGTGAGACAGCTGGTCAGAACGCTCTCTATGG